ACAGGGAACAGGCCCCGAGGCTCTGGAAGGCGAGCCCCTGGCGGCAGGAAAAATAATACCAGGGGGGAAATCCCGGCAGTGTAACCATTGAAGCATCAACGTACAAAATATCATCCTTCCAACCTAATATAAACTGTGGACTTTGGATATTAGTAATGCATTGGTTTGGGCACATCGGTTGTAACAAAGATACCACCCTGGTATGGAATAGTGGTGGGGGGAGGCCAGGGATGTGTGGGGACAAAAGGGAGATGGGAAAGCTCAGTCCCTCCTTAATATTACGGAGAACCTACACCTGCTCTTTTTAAAAACTTAAAATCATAAGTGACTAAAAAACATATATCATTCTTTCAGACACGTCTTTCTGGAATTCGGTTCCAGAACCCCTGAACTTCTTTGTCCCCAAGCACAGTGCCAGGTGGCAGGACAGGGTGATAACCCGGGCGCTGTCCTCAAGGAGACGGGGGTCACACCACACCACGCGGACAGGTGTCCTCTGTGCTGGCCCTGGGCCAGCCCCAGGCTCCAGTGCACTTCCCAGAATATTCCCTGGCCTCCCCCATGCACCGACGAGGAAGACGTAGACAATGCAGTCAAGATTCAGCCCGGGGTGGGGCTGGTCTCAAAGTTTGTGTTTCTACCCACTCCCCGCAGCGCCGGCCAGCAGGAAGGAGGAGAGGCCCCCGGAAGGAGGCCCTGGCTGGGCACTGCAGGAGGACCGGCTTCATCTTGCCTGGTATTTCCCCTTCCTTGCCCCAGGAGCAGAGAACACATGTTTTGGGGGGGTGGAAAGATGGGGGATGTGTGTAGTCAGTGCTATGGCAAATCAAAGAGGGGGGCTGCACAGAGAATGGGATGGCCCAGCTTCAGGGTGTCCGTGCAGGACATGCGGGCACTGGGCTGAGCGGATGGGGCGGGGACACTTGAAAGAAACAGCAGCAGGCACGGCTCAGCAGGCACGCCTGCACCTGCTGGAAGCAGCCTGGCCGCCAAGAGCCAGGAGGCCTGGAGAGGAGGGACAGAGGGGTGCCGACCGAGCAAGCCCCCCTTGGTTAAAGCACAAGGTGGGCCTTTAACCATGGCCCCTGCCGACAGCAGGCGTCTGGTCCACTCACCCTGGAGCTCCTTGTCCTGGATGTCCTTGGCTCCCAGGACCTGTCCATTCTCCCAGATCAACACCAGCCCCAGCAGCAGCAGGAGAGTCTTCATCTCGCCTCCTCCAATTCTGGAATCTTAGCACGCCTCTGTTTGCAGAGAACAGGAGGCTGTCATGGTAACAGCTAGCGGGCAGCTGTGTCCCCGCCAGCCCATAGCCCCAGAGGCTTTCCTGGGGCCTGCGCAGGCCTGGCCGTGGGCTAGCCCCTCCGCTGGGTGATGCACCTTCTCCCTTTTGCCCAGGGAACCCCAGAACAGGCTGAACTTGCCACTGGACACCTTGCAATGACAGTTGAGGAGGGGCCCAGGGAGGAGCCACAGGACAGCAGCCCAAGACATGGCGCAAGAAGGCAGTGCGGGGCCAGGGGCTCAGGTGAAGGCCCCTCCTCACCCTCCCCACGTATTCCTTCCCCTCTGCTCCCCGCCTCCTTGCTGTCCCCCGCCTCTTAGTCCCTCCTTCCTGCCCTCTCTCTCCACCTCCCCTCCTGCTCCTGCACCGTAACTGAATATGCCTGAGCCAGGTCCAGGCTCTCTGCATCCAGAAGGGCGTCCATTTGATGCCCTCAGACAAACCCTGGACTCACCCTGCCTGCTCCTGTCTCCCCTAAAGTAGAGATGGCTCCTCGGGGCTGGCAAAGCCCTGCTGTGTGCTGCCTCACCTGCCCACCGCAGGCATTACCTTCAGTCTCAGCACTTTTCCCCAGCGAGTCGCCACACCCCCTGAAACTGGGACAGTCGACCCTCTGGGTCACGTAGGAGCACCCATTCATGTGTCCCCCCTGCGCGAGAGGTGAGCCGGGGGAGAGCACTGGGTACGAGTACAGTGGAAAGGGAGGACAACCCAGGGCTAGCAAGGAGGGAGGGGTCAGAGGGTTTGAGGGCCCCTGGAGCAGCCTCCCAGACACCCCTCTGGCAGGACATGCCTCTGCTCTGCCAGGCCCCTTTCACAGGGCCAGGCCCCTCTAAGTCAACACAGGGAGCCCTGCCAAGGCTGGGTGCTTGCACCACGGCCAGCTGCCCAGAGTCCGGGGACCAGGCCTCTGCCAGGTCTTACACAACGGACCTTTCCCAGAAGCCTAAGTTGTTGCATAAAACAGAACTCCTGCACCCCCTGCCAGCACCTCCAGCCTTATCTGCACCCACCCATTTCCCATAGCAGAAGGGAGAGGAGGGGCCCCATCCTGAAACTGTGTTCATCCGAACCCCAGAGGGGCCAGGGTGGGGCTCCCCATCCCGCCCTCAGCGCCGAAGCCCCCTGGACACTCGTAGAACAGGCAGAGGCCTCTCCTGCAAAGTCGTCAGCTGAGCCGCTGAGCTGTGGCTCCCACACTGGGGGAGACGGGACACTCAGGGCCTCCCCCAGGAGGGTAGGAGGCTGATGCCCCGCAGACTCTGGCCGCTCACTGGGGCCTGAAATGCCTCGGGCAGGGACAGAGCCTGTGTCCACCCACAGAACCACCTCGGAGAACTACCCATACAAGAGCCTCTGGAATAGATTGACACAGAGGCATTGGCCCTGAAGAAAAGGCAGCAGATGGCCGGGGCCCGAGCTCGGGAGGGGCATCCAGCACCCAGCAGCCAGTGCAGGCCTCCCCCAGGCCAGGCATGCAGGGAAAAGCTCACTGCCCTGCCCACCCTATTCCCTCAGCAGGGACAGGATGGGATTCCCCAAGGCCCACAGCAAGCTGGTGGTAGCCTCAGAATAGAACCCAGCCCTCCTAAGCCCCAGAGTTTTGGGGACACCAACCCCCTAAAGCACAGAACCCCAGCTGCTTCATCTGTGCAATGATCTGACATGGGCCCCAAGAGGGAAAGGTGTTCTGAGCACAAGGCCCCTACAGAATAGCAGTGAATTCTGGCTTCTTCGGAATTTGCCCCAGGGACAGTCGTGGGCATTGGCATTACCTGCAGGGGGCGGGGAAAGTGGCATGTTCAGAGGGGACAGGGGAGCTGAAATGGGCACAGAGACCCCTGTGTTCCCCCGGCGGCTCGGCGTGGCCTCAGTACAATGACCAGCTCCCTTCAGCGCCCACACGCCGCAGGGGGCGGGTTGTGATGCCGCTTCTGACTCAGAACCTGCTCTCCCACCAGGCTTGCAGGTGATACCCACACTGTGGGCCCAGGGACAGGCTGCGCTCCCCCGGGGCTGGCCAGCCCGCTGTCCTCCTGGCCGGGGCCCCTGCCCACCGTGTGGGAGACAGACCCAGCCAGGCCAAGGCCCCCTGCCCACAGCACCGCCTCTGGCACCCTTAACCTTATAGGGGCGCGCCCGGAGGAAGGGGCGACCTCAGCACGCATTGCTTCGGGTTTAGAGCCTGCACCTCCCCACATGGGGGAAACTCAGCCAGGAAAAGGAGAAACCAGATTCACCTGTAAGTCACGCCCGGGACAGGCGCGTTTTAGGCCTGTATATATTTCCTTCACTTTCACACGATCACATTCTTTACACCCACAATCTTCAAACAGTCTTCAGAAGCACACTTCTGTGCCCCAAGAGTCCATTTTCTGGCGTGTTCTGTCTCCCCAGCCCCCGAGCTAGGCGTTTCCATAGACTGCAATTTCCCATGTCATAATGAACACTCACCGGAATCCTTCTATTTACCCTGTCTGCGCTTACGCTTCCATTCCCAGCCCCTTTCTTTAAAAATAATAATAATAATAATAAATAAATAAATAAAATAACTGGCTGCTGCTGCTGCTTTTTTCTCTCTGGCTCCAGAGATTCTGGACTTCCCGAGCCCTCTAATCCTGGTCCTTCCTTGCTGTTTCTTTGGAGACAGTCCCAAACCTCCCCAGGCCTCAGATTATCATCTATAAAAATGAGACGAGACGGGGCCCAGAAGCCTGATGGCGCTGGGCGACTCCTCTCTGGAGGGCCGGTGCTTTAGGAAGCACGACGAGTAGGATGTCAGTGGTTGCAACATATACTTAAATCCCAACATCACACTCAGAAACGCACTATGGGGAGAGCTGGATGCGGGGTAAACAAGATGACTCACGCAGGCCAGCTGCGCCCCCTTCACCCCCACCCCCTGGTCCCACCTTACCCGGGCCTGGAGGGGATGCGGCAGGCGCGCCCACCTGCAGGCCGCTCCACCCCCGCGCGCTGGCCCTGGCGACAGCCTCCCGCTTTCCACGGATCGATCCCGCACATTTGCACGGAGCATCAAGACACCTGTCCTATGTGCGCCCCCAGACTCGCGCTGGGAGCACCGGGAACCCCGGGTCCCAGCCTGCGCGCTTCCCCAGCATCGGCCGGGCTTGGCTGCCAGGTAACGGGCTCCGGCCGCCTCCCTCCCCGGCCCGGAGCGCACCGAAGGCGGCTCCGCAGCCCCGAGGGGCCCGGGGCGCCCGCCCACCCCGGGGGACCGCGCAGAGGGGAAGGGGGGGCGCCTCACCGCTGCTTCTCCGCACCCGGCCGTGCGCTCCCGCTGGCTGCGCCGCACCGAGGCCGGCGCGCGCCTGTATTTATAGGGCTCCGCGGCGCACACCCCTTGGGGGCCGGCTGCAAACCTGCATGACTCACGCCCCAAGAATGCCGTGAAATGCACCGGGAGTTTTCTGGAAGCCGCGCGGGAGGGGCGCGGGCTCTGGTGCAAAACCCGGCGTGGGGCGCGCGGGGGCGCATCGGCACCGCGAAAGGCCACGCGGGCCCCGGAGAACCCTGGGGTGCTGCCCACTCCGCTCCCCGGTATCGGTTCTCTGGGGCTCCAAGCTGGGGGCGGCGCCGGATGCAGGGGAGAGCCCGGGCGATGTGCACAGCCGGGCGCCCCTCTCCACGCGTTCCAGGGGTCCCCTGGGCTCGTGGCCAAAATAAAAAGGCACAGCTCAGCGGCCCTGTTGAACGTTAATCTCTCACATTCAACATGCGTCACTCCTCTCGCTCCGTTTACTGTAAAAGCACCAGAAATGAGGAGGCTGGGATGGATGGAGAGGCTGTTTTTGCTAGAGGAGAAAAGAGCAAGTGTGAAATGCGCCTTCCCCAAGGGTCCCAGGGACACGCGCCACCCCACCCCACCCCCCCACCCCCCGCGCCCCCGCACCCTGCTTGGCCACGGGAAACAGCATGTTTGCGAGGATCGCCAGAGCCAGTATCTGGGCAATCAGAGGCCCCCCTGGCTTCTGGATTCCTGGACCTGTAAGCTGCTATGTCCCCATGCACTCAGGGTGCAGCCACCCCAGGGGCTTCATGGGGCGGTGCCCCTGCTGGCTTGACGCTGTGCTCTGCTGCAGCCACAGGCTTGAAATTCTTAATGGATCTAGAACAAGATGCTGGGCATTTTCATTTTGCACAAGCTCAGAAAATTATGCACCACTCAGGTCCCCAGGTTCGGGACACGCTTGTTTCTGGACTCCCTCTGGTCAGGGGCTTGGATGGCACAGAGGTATACTACCTCTTGGGGAGGGAGCTGAGTTACCCTCTCTGGCCCCCCATGATGGTTGAGCACTGAAAGGGGGAGGCGGGAGGGGGGCCTGTAGCAGGCACTGCTAGGTGGGGTGGCAACTTCAAAAGCCACGGGAAAGCCTGGCTTACCCCACTCCTCACCAGGGAAATGCAGGCGGACACCACAGAGAGAGCTTGCTAGCAGGGTGAGAATGGCGCTTATCAAAATGCTAAGACGTGCCAAGTGCTGGCAAGTATGTAGAGGAAAGGTGCCCTCTGCACACCCCACCCCAGCACTGTTGGTGGGAATGCAAAGTGGTGCAACCACCATGGAAAACAGCGTGGAGTTTCTGAAAAAATTAAAAATATACCTACCCTATAATCCAGTAGCCCCACTCTGGGCACTTCCCTGAAGCATAGGAAACATTCCCTTGCTAGCGAGCATGCACCCCTGTGTTCATTGCAGCATCACTCACAGTGGCCAAGCTATGGAAGCAACCCAAGCACCCGACGGTGGCTGAGTGGGTGAGGATGGGATTCATAGACATGGTGGAATACTACTCACCTATGAAAAAGATGACCTCTTGCCATTTGTGACAACATGGGTGGGCCTGGAGGTGGTTGTGTTAAGTGAAGTCAGTCAGAAGGAGAAAGACAAATACCACATGATTTCATTCATGTGCAGACTATAAAGAAAAAAAATTGAACAAATAAGACAAAAGCAAAAACCAACCTTAAACTGACAAGAGAATTGCGGTTACTAGAGGGGAAAGAGGGAGGAGACAGGGTGGATGGGCTGGTGGTGGCTGGTGACTGGGTATTTGGTGGTGGGTGTGGGGTGACAGATACAGGTGCCTAGGGGAGAAGCTGTACCCCTGAAACCTGTGCAGTGTTGTGAACTGAGGTTACCTCAATAAAAAGAAAAAGGTACAAGGGAAGGGCTTAGAGGGGGGTGGCGTACTCAGGGACCAAGTTTTCCTATTCACAACTTTCAAGGTGGAGTTTGGGGTCCAGTCTCTGGCCACCCAAGCTCTAGGGGCCACGAGGCCCACCCCTTTTAAAGGGAGCTTCTAGGCCTGCATAGAAGGAAGGATCCTGGGACGGGGGACCTGGAATTCCCCTGACAGCCTCAGCTCTGCCCTGGCTCTGGGTGACTCACCCCAGATCCCCTTGGCCCCAGGGTTTGGTTTCTGCCGTCTGGACACTGAGAGTCTGGACCGACGGTACCGCCTCTGGGTCTCCTCGTCCTCACTGAGGCAGTGCCAAGTTTGAGAAGATCTTCAGCCCGAGGTAAAAGAAATGCAACGAGAATTCAGAGAAATAATTCCCACCCTCCCCCCTCCCCAAGTCACTCCATTTTCTGGAATGAAGATCTGGAGCCGCCTGGGGCCAGACCAGGCCAGGAGCTGCCTCCTCCAGGCACATCAGCGCCCAAGGTCAGAAATCAGTTCCGTCCTCGCTCCCTGGAACTCTTTGTCCCGGGGCTCCCCCACCGCCCGACACCCCTGCCCCAAATCTGCGATAATTGTACTTTTAAACATCAGACTGTGGAGGACAGGAAGGCTTAGTCAGCGGAGTGGGAGAGAGGAGAAGAGACGGGGCAGAAACAGCCGGCTTCCGAGGAGGCCCCTCCATGGCGCCAGCCGCGAGCAAAGAAGGTGGGAAAGCTCGACTTTAAGGGAAAGAGTGTGCATTTGGAAGGCACCATCCACACAGCCCTGCATTTTCAATATTTTCAGTTGATCAGCTGGCACAGCCCTCACACCACACTTGGGTCCTAGCCCACCCTCCCGCATCCCCACCCCCTAGAAGGTCATCCTGCTCCGTTTGCAGGCCCCAGCCTGGGGACGCATTCCCCCGAAGCACTTCTCCAGGGAAGCTGTGGGCAGGGAGGACCTTCTTTGCTTGAGTCCAGGTCTGCCTCTGCGCGGGCTACCCCAAGCCCAGTTCCAGCCTCTGGATCCACAGAGCAAGCCCTGTTCAGCCCTCAGGCCTCTGAGAGCAGCTGGTGGGTTTCTCCCAGTGACACCCAGGCGGTGCTGCCTGCCCCGTCCTCGGTGGCTGCCCCTTCCCTGTCCGGGGCCTCTGGTCCTTGTCTCTCTTGCAGCCCTGAGCCTGCCAGTACCAGCGAGGACGGACCCCAGAGGGGGGCAGGTTTGTGCCAGACCCCTAGATGGGCTTCCACCTGGCTGCTGCCCTTTGGGCAGGCACTGCTGCTTCCCCATTACTCCGGGGTGGGCTTGTGCCAGTGTGGGGTCTTAGTTTCACTTCTTGCCCGGAGTGGGAGACCACCGAGGAGGCGAGAAGGGGGAGGAACGAGCTTTGTTTATTGCTCCGGCTTCACCATCCCCCTCAGCCCTCCGGCTCTGTTGTGCACCCTCATTGTTCACTCAGCTCTACCCTCTGTCAGGGTACACCTCAGACACACCAGAACACACCAGAACCAGGCGGGAGCAGGGTCCTGAGGCCCGTGATAAGAATATTTAGTCAATTACAGCCCAGTGGAGGAAACCACGGGTAAAGTCACTTGCCATAGAGTCAGCCCGCGGTGGTGTGAGGAGTCCTGGTGCATCTTCTGTCCTCCCTAAGGTCCAGAAACTGTCTGGGGTGTGCTTCCCTGGTCTTTCCACCGAGGATCTTATGGGGAAACGGGAGGCGGCTTGCCAGCATCTCCCGAGCCGCTGGGCCTGGACCTGTAGGCGGCCAGTCCCTCAGCTGTCTGGGCTGCTCCACGCGGGACGGTGGGGCTGCCTGTAGCTCAGACCACCTCGACTCCACCTTCAGTCCAACTCTTAGATCAACAGACACCTTTTTCTTAATTGACCCCCAGGTCTGCCTCAGGTCAAACCCACTTTTCTACAACCGGCCAGAATCCAGCTAATAATTACCTGAGAACAGTGGTTCTCCATGGAACTCATTGGGGACCTTTAAAAATGACCAAGCCTGGGCCCCAGCTCCGGAACTTACACTGAGCTCTGTGGGAGGCCAGAGATGCGCCAGCCCCATCGCAGTGATGCCGACCCCAGCCCAGGCCCACCGGACCCAGGACACCCACCTCCCTCTCTCCGCTGGGATACAGGGAGCCTCTGTGTCCTCACAGCCTCCCAGGTCCCTGTTAAGAGTACATGGTGTTGTTCTCATTCTATAGAAAGCTGGGACCCAGAGGAATCTCAGCAAATTGTGGCTTACACTGAGCCGAGCTCTGCCTCCTTATTACAGCCTCATCTCTCCTGTTCAAGGTGCAGCGTGCTAAGTTTCTCAACAGAGTGAGTTGAGGTTAAACAGGTTCTTCACCCCTGCTTTCCTAGAATGGGCTCACGAGGCACCTTCCTCTGTGCGCCCCTGTCCCCACGTACTCGGTTTTGCCACTGTCCCTCTCCTGTGGCTTTCAGGACAAACACAGGACACCCCCTTAGACTGAGCAGGCCAGAGGCTCTTCCCACCTGTGCTTTGATGGAAGCCCCCTGCGCCCCCAAGGCGCCCCTGCCTACTGTCACTGAACTTTATAACACACTGTGCTTCTCAAATAGTTTTCAGCTGCCCTGGGGCGGGCGGGGGTGTGCTGGGAGCTCAGAAGGGCACTGAAGCAACTGGCAGCGGTGAGACTCACAGAGGTAGGGAGGAAAGCTACTATTGAGTGAGTGACCAGTCGGCCTCTGATCAATTCCACTCTGAACCTCGTACTTCTAAAGTAATGCGCGTCTGTTCACACACACCGTGGTAGTCAGGAGTGCGTGCCTGGTCGTACACGTGGATTATACAGATTGTCTATATAAATGTGGAGGAGGGTCTGCCTTTGTCCTTTCTTTTTAAAAATAAGGGTAAAATCATGTCACCTTGCTCTTTTTCTCTTAATGAAATATTGCGGACATCCTTCCAGTCAACACAGAGACAGATCTAACCCTTCAATTCCATCACATTTGATCCACCCATCCTGCTTTGTCTGCCACAGTTAACAGCCTTCTGCATGCATCTGAATGTGTTGGTGCTTTATTGCTATAAGGTAGATTCTCAAATTGGGATTGAGGGATAAAAGAACATGTATGGTCTTAATGCTGAAATAAATGGCATTTATTAGGTGTTGCACTAACACCTACTCTATTAGGGCACCCCACATTTCCCATGAGATCATCAGGCTGGAAATTATTAGTTTTTTAAATATTTTTACCAGTCCGATGGGTGAAAATGTTATTTTGCCACCTTCACCTCTTTGGAAATTTATCATTTTCAAATAAAGTTTCCTGTTATATGACTTGCCCATTTTATTGGGTTATTCATCCATTTTTCACCAATTTATAGGTGTTCTTTAATAAAGTAATCCTGGGTGGGTGCAGGTATTTTTACTAGGCTGACTATGGAGGCTTTTAAATTTTTATATGTAGTGAAAGTTGTTCAACTTTTCTTTTGCACTTTCTAGGTCTCCTGTCTTACAGAAAACTGTCTTCCTCTCACAAAAATATGGACATTCTCCTAATTTTCTTCCACTTTTCTATATGTATTAGTTTTGTATTGAGATATTTAATCCAAATGGGTGTGTGTGTGTGTGTGTGTGTGTGTGTGTGTAGGAGGGAGGTCAGACAGAGATCTAACTTCATTTTCTTCCAGTTGTGTAGCCAATTATGTCAACATGATTTAGCAAATAAACCACCCTATTCATGCTGAGTTGAAAGGCCAGTTTGTCGCCCATGAAGTTTCCCAAATAAACTTGGCTCTATTTCAAGACTTTCTAGTCTACTCCTCTAATTTATTCGTGTGTAAACTTTTGTTCTCATTACATAGTTTTAAAATAATATTTAACATTGAGAAGGTAACATTGTCCACTCTTCCTATCACTTTTCTGGGCTATTCTAGGACATGAGTTTTTCTGTATGAAATTTAAATTAATTTTGTGCAGTTGAAAAAACGTATCATAATTGTACCAAATGTACATCTTAGTTTTGGAAGAATTTACATTTTAATATTCATTCTTAGAAGAATATTTAGAAGCATGGCCTATGTGTGGAAGTAATTCAAATGATTAATTTTACTTTTATATGGATTTTTGTTTTATAAAGTGAAAGATGCGCAGAATTTTAAAATAGCCAATACTCCAAAAAGTATCCAGGGCAGCTTCCTTTGCCGAAGTCCTCACTACTCCCACAGTGGACCCACCCCACCCCCAGGCCAGACAAACCATCCTCTATATATTAAATCAAAGATTATTTCAATCTGGTATGGCATGCAACATTTATAAAGATTTTTTTTAAATAAAAGGAAGGCCCTCAAAAATATTTTTTTTGACTTCACTGCTGTCCTCGTGGCAGATGAAGAGAAATCCTGGCAGGCACCTGCTACAGAAATTTCTCAGATCACATAGTTCAAAGCTTCCCCTCTTCCTCCAGCCGTCTGCTCCTGCTCTCAAGACCTGAGCTGGCCAGCAGTAGCCCTTCATCCAGGTTTGCTAAATTATTTGTATTACTTTTTCAGTGAAAGCCGTCAAAGACCCCATCAGTTCCCAGCAGCCTCACTGTACTCTGAGTTCTTATCAAAGCCGTAATATCCACAAGAAAAGGGAACATACTCCCTTCCCTGGCACAGTTCTGACTAGATAGTCAAAATATATCTGCTTGATAAGTCAGTGAATGTCAAGCATGGTCAAAGAGCAACTGGCTCTTTTTCTCTAAATGACCACGCCTCATCCTGTGCTCATGCACTTGATGGTGAACCCACCTGTAGAATTTCAATTTATTTCTCTTGAACTTTATCTAACAATTCACTGTAGCCACTGACAAGATTGTTCTGGACTTTGTTCTCTCAGTTTTGAATGAGAAACAAAGACATAAACAGGCCTCTGGGTGTTCATCCGGAGAGCAGGTGAGTGTCCACTTGCGCCCAGGTGGGCTGCGGCTATAATAACAAAATAACACCTGGCATGGGCTTAGCCAGTGGACGGCAGGGTATGAGGCTGATGCGGGAGACCCAACCTCCTTGTCTCTTTCAGAGGAGAAGGTAGAATCTCATCTGCATCCCTTTATCCACTGAGCCTTCCCCAGCAAGCACCCTAACCAACCTTCCTTCTGCTTTTGCTAAGTTATTGAAGACGACATCTGAAGCCACTGGGCCAGTCACTAGGTCATGCTGGGTCCCTCCATGCACACACAAGACAGGCATGTCCATCAAACTTCTTCTTGGCTGTCTTCTCCTATCAACCTGTTTAATGCTTGCTTGATTATCCGCTTAGAAGAACCCAGAGGGGTACTAGATGATTTCCTTTGCACCCCAAACTTGGCTAGGCCATGATACTCAGATATTTGGTCAAGCATCGTAGGAAGCTTCTGTGAAGGTATTTTTGGATGAGATTGACACTAAATCCACAGGTTGGAGTGAAGCAGATGAGCCTACATCCTGTGGGGGCTTCATCCAGCCTGCTGAGGACCACAATGGAAAAAAGGAAGGAATCCTGCCAGTAGTTGCTTTTGGACCTGAGCTTCAGAATCAGCTCTTCCCCGGGTCTCCAGCCTGCAGGTTATTGGTTCTGTTTCTCTGGAGACCCCTGACTAAGACACGGCTAACTCTACAACACGCTTGAAGAGGACAGATTTTTGAAAAGGAAGTAAAGGGCAAGGAAACAAGATTTTAGCCAGAGTTCAAGGGGGAGGAACAAGGCTGGAGGAAAAAGTAGAAGCACGTCCCAAATCCACTCCTGGCGAGGAGCACAGCTGGGGCAGGTGCAGATGAGCTGTAGGACACGGAGAGATGTTTTGTTGTGTTTTGTTTTGTTTTTGTTTTGCCTCAAGTAGAAAAGAGGAAGCAGCGTTTCGGGAGGTGGCTGGTCAGCACCCTTAGCTCACCTGGATCCCCTCCTGGAGAGCAGACCTGTCAAGTGGCGCTGGCGGAGTTAGGGCCAGAACAGTGGTGCCCAGTAGGTGCCCAATAAAAGCCCCGTCCATGAAGAAGGACCTGCGAGGACCGCAGCAGAGGGCCCCAGACGGGAGCCACAGCACCCCGCAGTCCGTGCCCCTCAGCCCCACTGTTTCTGAGGCCCCTCAAATGTGTGAGGCCCGGTTCTCTCAGCGGAAAGCCCAGGCTTGGAGACAAGACGTGACCCCAGCGTCGGGAGCGCCAGGGCTGAGGGGCTGCGGGGTGTGGGGGGGCGCCTGGAGCTCAAACACTAACAGTCCAGCCTGGGGCGCACGGGGTGGGCTGGAGCCGGCACCGGGCCCCTTCCTTCCCCCGGGCCCCTGCCCCTTAGAAGGGCGAGGAAGTAACCATGGGGCCCAAACCCCAGCGCGCCGGGCCGGGGGACCCCACCGAGCCCGGCGATGGCTGCGGGGAGCCCCCGCGCTGCTCGGCGTGGGTGGCGGCGGGGGGCGCGGGGCGCTGGGGCGCGCGGGGCGAGGGGGGGCGCGGGGTGGTCGCGCGGGGCGCGGGGGAGCACGAGGCGAGGGGGGTGCCGGGCGGGCGGGGGGGGGGGGGGGCGGGGGGCGCGGGGGGGCCCGCGGGGAAGGGGGAGGCGCGGGGACGGGCGCGCGGGGCGCGGGGGGGCGCGCGCGGGGGGCGCGCGGGGCGGGGGCGCGCAAAGGGGCCGGGCCTGGCCGCGGCAGTTTTGAAAACCCCGAGGAAGTTGATCTGGGCCGGGGCCCAAGCGGTGACGAGGAGGCGGCGCGGGCGGGCGGAGGGAGCGCGAGGGGCGGCCGCAGACCTCGCCGGCCTCCAGCGGGACGGCCGGGCAGGCGGCGGGGCGGGCGGCGGGGCGCCCCCCGGCTGCGACCCCGCGGACCACCCCTCGGCTCGCCGCCCCCGCAGCCCGGCGCGGGCAGGAGGCGCGCCCCGAGCCCCACTCCCGCGGGCTGCGCGTAGGCGGCGGTCGGGAGCCCCGGGAGCCCCAGACCCGCCGGCTTCGCCCCCAGGGCCCAGCGCTCGAGCAGCCTCACCCGGCCCGCCCGAGGGGCGCCGGCGGAAGGGACCATGAAAGGTAAGCCCCCCGCCCGCCCGCGGCCGCCGGCGGGAGTGCCCAGACCAGACCGGGGGACCCCCCCAGTCCCCGCCGGGCTCCAGGGCCGTCCTCCCTGCAGGAGGCTGAGCGGGGAGGTCTCCCCGGAAGGAGGCAGGGTCTTCCCCGCCTTAGGAAAGGCACTGGGAGGACGGGATGGAACCTTGAAGTCCACGGGACCCCAGAGATCGGGGTGCAGACGCGGACGCGCACCCCCTCCTCAGCCTGGTTCTGCCTCCCATGTGGCTCTTCCCGCAAAACTGTCATAAATTCCAGAGAAGTTTCTGATCCCTTTAACCAGCCAGTGAGCAGGAAAGATGTCAGTGGGCTGACAGCCCTGGCCTGCGGCACCCGCCCCCTGCAGAGTCCTGCCCCAGCAGCCCGGGCCCTTCTACGGACAGAGCTCCCCTGCCAGAGCCCCTGCCAGACCCTGTCCTCTGAAACCCAGCTGACCTGCCCTCTGACCTCCTGCGGACACAGGGCTGCAGCAGCCCTCAGGCCCTAGCTCTCCAGCGCAGTGGGCACCTCTGCCACCCTGGCAGCAGGTTCTTGGGATGGAAGAGGAACCGGCCCTGGGCCGGTGCTGAGGCCTGCACGGGGCCTTCTTGCGGCAGGGAGAGGCAGGCTTGGCGGTCATCCTCTGGGCAGGGAACCCGGGAGGTGGTTAAGTGCTCTCTGCCAGGCCTCTGAAAGACCCCCTCGTTCCCTGGCCGGAGCTCAGGCACCCAGCAGCAAGAAGCTCACGCCGCCTCCACGTGCAGACTGAGAGCACCCTCCAGGACCCTCTGCAGGGTGCTAAACTATGCTGCCCGGGGCCGCTGACAGGCCGCCTGCAGGTCCCTTTTACCTGCGGGTCCCATGGGGAACCGCTCCACAGACAAACCTGGGTTGAATGCAGTTTCAGTTGAGGAAACTGAGGCCTGAGCAAGCAGCGCTGGCTTCACAAGGAAGCAGCCTGTGCAGTGCCCAGGGGACCCCCGCTGCGGGCTCAGGGGCCAAGCACTGTGGTCTTGGACTCTTAATTGCTTTGCCAAGAGACCCCGGACGCTTTCATTTTGCTCCTGACCCTCAAATTGCATTGCTGGCCCCATGGACAGCAGAAGGGACGTGCTTGAGACTCACAGCTCCTGGGGGGCTGGAGCTTCACCGGCCAGTCCTGGCCATACCCCTGCCCCCCTCCTCCTTCCCTGTGGCCCGGCCCCCTGGACTTTCTGGTGGCCTCACCATGTCTTGGGCTGTCAGAAATGAGGCAAGAGAGTTATAATCAACCCCAGGGAGTTCCCTTGGCTGCTGAGAGAGGCCTCACCCAGGAAGCTCCTGCTTGCTGCCCTCCAGGTCAGCCCGGGGCCAGGTCACTCCCCAGCAGCTTCCGGAAGGCCTGAGACTGCATCGCACTGCAGGCTGGGGCCCAGCTGCTCTGGACCTCACAACGGTGGGAGTGCACTGCGCTCTCTCCCCTGTTGGCCTCACCGGCATCCCAGGCAGACACAGGGGAGAAAATACACTGAGGGGAAGACAGGCAAAGAGAAGCCTCTCACGTGCAGGAGACGCCCAGCTCCCAGGGAGGAGGGGCAGGAGCTCGGTGACCCCCTCTTCGAGGGGGCAAAGACCTGGTGTGAATGCACGTCTCGAGCGGGGGCTAGAGGAGGGCCTAGAGGAGGACGCGTGCCGTGGGGGCCCTTGGCTGGGAGGAAGCCCGACCTCACCAGCCTCGCCCTGCTCCCATTCAGCCATGCCCACCTGACCCCTGCTCCCCCGGGTGGCCCTCACGCCCCTGCTCCTAGGCTGCAGAGAGGTCTGCTCTCTGCCCCTCCCCAGCTGCCTGGAAGGGCCACCTCCACCACCTGAGAGGGACAGGCAGGGCACACAGCAAATATCTGGCCTTGGGGGTGGCGGAGAATGAAGAATCAGGAGTTTTTACACCCACATGGAAAAAGCAAAGAGGCCGGTAGGGCAGGCCGCCCCTTCCAGGCCGCCCTCCCCGGGGAAGCTGGCTTCACTCTCCCCTGCTCAGGCCCTGCCAAGCTGAGAATTGCATCTGTTGGCAAAGATTCGCCATCCCCGCTCAAAGCAAAACACGCTGAGGTTATGTTTTCGGGGGACGAGGGGCGTGGGCGGGACAGCCCTGGAAAGAGAGCACACATGTGCCCAGGAGCCACCGCTGCGGCCGGGCGCCAGGCCCCTCTGCCAGCCGAGCTGCTCCCGCCCAGGGCCCCCTGCCCGGCACCGGCCTCCCAGGCAGCCGCATCTCTTCCTGCAAACTAACACCTGGCCAGGCGCCGCCCCTGGGCCCCAGGGGCCCACCCCACGCCCAGCCCCTGGGGGACGGCCACCCACGGCTGGTCTACCCGAGGAGGTGGCCACCTTGGTGAGAGGGTCCTGCCCCGGCACCTCCCTGCCGCCTGAAACCCCAGAAGCAACCCAGTTCTCCGTGAAGATGACGGAGCTGCGCAAAGACATGGGCCCTCGGCCTGCCCGCCCCCCACCCCCAGAGGCTCTGGTCAACATGTTCCCTCATTCTCCTCCTGGGTGGCCCGGGCCGTCCTAGTGGGATGCTCTGACTCAACCCAGGGGTTCTGGCCCGAGTGCCACTTGGGGAGCGGAAGTGCCTCTGACAAAGATGGTTGGAAGCCAGCCCTCCTGCCTGGCCCCTCTCGCCCCGGGAGACTTGTCCTCAGCGGCCGAGGGGGGGCAACCACACCCGCTGCACCCCAAGCGTGGGAGGAGCAGCCCCTCCCCCAAGAAGCGGCGCGTGCCCACACCACGTGGGCCAAGGCTGGCAGGCGAGGAGGGGGCTGTGACGCACAGCACGAGATGCAGGAAAATTCCACTCCCACAGCGTGGCAGGGGGTGGGGTCGAATCCCCCCATGAGCAAGCAGGCTGGGTCCCCTCTGAAAGCCTGACCTGCACCCCCAAACCTCGGGGCGCTGGAAGGAGCCTGGGACTACATGAGCAGGAGCTGACGTGGCAAAAGCGCAAAGAGCCGCTCACTGGCCCGACTGGGTTGGGGCCGGGGGGCGGCAGGGCCAGGGCTCAGGTGCCGGGACCAGCTCCAACCCCTGATGGACACGGACACATGCACACGCACACACGCATGCACACGCGCGCACACACAGCGCTCGCCTTGCCATCTGGCTGGGTCATTTAATGAGCACAGGCTGACATCCCCAAAGCTCACTCGAGAGGAAAGAGCCGAGCTGTCCACGGACGGCGCCTGGCTTGGCAGCGTGCGTGTGTGACCAGCTGTGCTGGTGTGGGACCTGGCAGGGAGAGGGCCTGGCCACCGACCGTGCCACTCCTGCAGGCGCTGCCCGGGGCGTGCATGAGTGTGTGTGTGTGTGTGTGCACGCCCTGAGCCCTACGTTCTGCCTGGCCCGTCCCCCCGGCTCTCTAGCTGTGTAGCAGCGACGGCTCGATCCCCCTGGACCCTCGGCCCCCTCGCCGGGTCTTTCCCACTCTGACACGCTGTTGTTTTTCCTTTTGTGTAGGAGTTTCTATTTCTTTCTATTTGTCAGTCATCTGTCTGTCTGTCTGTCCTTCCATCTTGCAGCCTGTGTGTCTGTGCGGTTCTCCCCCAGGATAAGGCTGAAAGCCCACAGCGGTATTGGGGTGTGAGCTCCGTGAGCGGGGGACCCTCTCTGCCTTCCTCCTGTCTTGCTCCTGCGCAGAGCGTGGGACACAGGTGGTGTCCCCTGCGTGTGTTCGGGGGCACACGTGGGTCCTCCCTGGACCTAGATCCCCAAGGTCAAGGCGCACCAGGCGCCCCCAGAACCCAACATAGGTGCTCGGCGCAGACTCAACATTTAACAGACATTTGCCGGCCAGCTGCTTGCGCGGCTGTGTGCGTGGTCGAGCGAGAAGAGCTCAGACACTGGCCTCCAAGGACACACGGGATTCGTGCCCAAATCATTCAAAAAAGACTAAGTCCCAAGTTGGGGTCTGGGGTGGTGCGGGTTCTTTTTCTACCCCTCCTCCTTGGCTGGTCCTCTTCTGGGTGAGTGTGTGGTTGCACACTCCTTGACTGCCATGGGGCACCAAGGCTGGAACAGTCCCCCCCAGCCTCATAGATTCGCCACTCTGTCAAACAGGTCAACGACACCAACTTGGTCTGAGTTCCTGGCCGTGGCTCTGGGCGTCCCAAGCACCCCTGTGTGCAGCCCCCTCCTTCAGAGTGCAGGTGCCTTCACACCCACCTGGACTCCAAGCTCAAATCCCAGCAGTTCTGCGGCCTCGTGCTCTCTGGTATTGAGTAGCAACGTGGGGTGGGGGGTAGGTGTGCTAGTTTAAGGGTAAGCAGGGGTGGTTCCCACTTTCACCCAAGAGTAAATAGTAACATGCATGCTTTTTGACTCCACAACATGGACCCTAAGGTCCAGAACACCAGTGGGCTTTTGACGTAACGTTGCCTCCATTAGTGCTGATGTAGGGACAGGCGGAAGAAGTAATCTAATACAGGTGGTGAACGCACCCAGACAGCGTACCCCGAAGCTGGTGTGCCTCTGAATACCAGTTCCATGGGATTTGATAGATTTTTCTTTCAAGAATGACAGGAATTTCTATCATCAAATCAGTTTGAAAAATATAGAATTAAATACAGGCTTTTTTTTTTTGGCAGGACTTTTCAACATTTTTACGATGAGTAAAATGTTTTAACATGTTTCTAAGATGGAAATAAAGTGGGCAGCCTTTTCCATCTTACTTGACCAAAGAACTCTATGACAGAGAACATTCTGGAACAATTGTTTCATGGGACATGTTTTGGAAATGGAATTCTTGAAAGTTGGAAATTGATGCTGAGAGTAATGGGTGTCAGGAAGGGATTATGGTCCATGCAATTCAGGAGGAGAGAGAATAGCCCTCCCCCAGATGACATTCCTGCCATGCCCCAGCTCTTGCTGAGGTGCTGGGTCCTTTCACTGTGAGTCTCACAGCGGCCCTGTGGGGTAGGTGGTATTCTTACTCTTTTGCACCTGAAGCTGAG